AAAGATCTTTTGAGGCCAGGAGTTTCAGACCAGCCTGGGCAACATATTAGGACTCCACCTCTACAAAAATAAAAAAAATTAGCTGAGTGGGGAGATGTGCATCTGTAATGCCGACTAATTGGGAGGCTGAGGTAGGAGGATTGCTTGAGCCCAAGAGGACCTGGAGGTTGCAGTGAGCTATGATAGCGCTGCTGTGCTCCAGCCTAGGTGACAGAGTGAGACTGTGTCTCTAAAATAAATAAATAAATATTTTTAATAAGAAAACCATATTATGATCTTTACTCAACCATTTTCATCCAATTTTAATTTTTGGCAAGATAATGAAGAGGTTGCAAAGGTAGCACACTGTGCTGCCCAGAAGGGCATCTGCTTTAGGAAGGCTCTGGAAGGTTCTGGTCCTCAGGTGGGGTGGGAGGCCCTGCAGCCCTGCCTCTCCCCTGGATTGAGAAGGAGGTGGCAGAATGCAGAAAAGGTGCTACCAGGTGGACCCTGCAGGGAGTGACCTCCCCTGCCCCTCTCGCTCAGCACTTTGGTGAGCTAATGAAATGTTCCTGGCTTGTCTTTGCAGTCACCTGTATAAGAAGAACCTTGATGTGACCAAAATCCGAAAGGGAAAGCCTCAGCTGCTCCTGAGGGTAGATGACCATGACTTCACCATGAGGCCTGCCTTTGGAGGTAGGACTGTCCTCCCTTGGTCTGCCGCTCACGATGTCCCCTGGGGACAGCCCTTCCCCAGAAGGCATGATAAATCCCCACTCAGATAAATCTGATGCCGTTTCCTGAATCATTTTCCCAAGGAGCAGGAAGCGGTAGGAGAGCTGCTGACTGAAGAGAGCTAGAGACCCACCCTGCTGTGGCTGACTTTTTCTTTCTTTCTTTCTTTTTTATTTTATTTATTTATTTATTTAATTTATTTTTGTTAGATCATACTCAACACTATTATGAAACTAATTGTTACCTATCTTAGGAAAGCTACAATCCGAATGGTGCCCTAGACTTTTTCTTTCTTAAAGAAGTAAAAACAGGCAGGTAGTCAGGACACAAAATAGCCCCTCTGTGGCTGGTGGCAGGCGGCAGGGAGTTCAGAGTTTTGAGGGGCCACCAGCTTTCCATGCAGCCGCAGTGATTCAGCTCACGACAAGGGCCCCTTGCATACCTGTCCCAAAGGTGATCTGCTAATTTTGGGGTGAAGGAGGGAGTCACAGCCACTGGCTGTTCTTTCCAGGATCTGCAGTAATGACAGTTCAGAGTGACTAACAAAACACCACAAACTGGGGGCTGGAAGTTCAAGACCAAAGTGCCCACACATTCCATCTTTGCTGAAGGCTCCCTTTCTGGCTCACGGAGGGCACCTGTCCTGTGGCCTCTCATGGTAGGAGGGGCAAGGCAGCTCTCAGGGCCTCCACTCTCACGACATAATCTCTAGCAGCATTGCCTTGGGGGTTAGGATTCCAGTGTATGCATTTTGTGGAGACATAAACCTTTGGGCTGTAGCAGCCAGAAGGGAGCTAGTAATCTGCTGACCCAGCAAGGAGTGGGGTGCAAGGATAGCAGAGATCCCTGGGCCAGGTCCCTCTGGTGCCTATGGGGAGACAGGCCCCAAGCATGTCAGCTGGTGGGCCCTGGTTGAGACAGACCCTTTCTCCTCTATCTCTCCCTTGATCCTCTCTCAGTCCCTAGCGTTCTCCTGAGGCAGCAGGAAGGAGTAGGGGTGACCTTCTGGCAAGTCATCAATCCTTTCTGAGCCTCCATTTGCTTGTTTATAAAATGGGGCTATAATCCCCAAGTAGGGGGTTGTTCAGATTAAACAAGATAATGTATGTAAAGCCCATGACACACATTCGTTCACGTCCCCTCCAAAAAACCCAGCTGTCAGACCTTCCTCCTGTGTCACTGTTAAGGGATTAAGAAATTAATTTATCCCAGGGGCCTTTGCATTTTAAAAGGCCTCAAAGCCTCCTGCTAAATTCCCTGAGCTCTGACAGCTGCTGAGCAGGAGGAGAAAAGTGGGCGGCAGATTACAGTCTGTGACTCTTCCCCTTCCCAACCAGCCAGCCGACTGCCTGGCTTAGGTTAAGAGGAGGCCACCCTGTTTCTGGTACTTTGAGTTTTGCCAGGGGGCTCTGCAAGGGCAATCCTGACAAAGGATTTTATGAACATAAAGTTTTACTGAACAAGCAGCTTTAAAATAGCTACATTTGCTCCAGGAAGTCTAAGTGAGGTGTCACCAGAAGCTGGGCTTTACCTTTCTTATATAGCATCAGGGAAGAGCAAACAGTAATGACAGCCACTGCTTTGATAGCAACTATTCTGTGCCAAGCACCATTCTAATCGAGGTGTTTTGTATATAATCTTATTTCAGTTCATCAACTCCGTGAAATAGGTACTATTATTATCCCAGGATGAGGAAACAGAGTATGGATGTAGCATACTACTAGGGCCCACAACACTTTTAGGCTCTCTCCCCAAATCAATTTCTTTCTTTCTCCCTTCCCTTTCCTTCTTTCCTTCCTTCCTTCCTCCCTCCTTCCGTCCCTCCCCCCTTCCCTTCCCTTCCCT